CTCAGTAGATACCTAATAGCTCAAGAAGGGGGACCCTCCCAGAAGGCACAAAAGACTCTACGACAATACCACCAGTCTGAGTCACATGGGGCAGACTTGTAGAATGCCTAACTTTCTATGGCCACCTATTATGTCTTCAGTGCCCTTAGTAACTCACGTCTTAGCAACTCTAGTCTATGGGACCAATGGAGATTCAGCGGAATGTGATGAACCCCCAGAGGCAACCTCCACTGGAGGAGGAGCTCTAGGCCAAGTGATACATTCATTCCATGATCATCTCTATGGCTCTCAGGAACGAAGTCATTATCACCAATAGAGGAGTGGTTAGAGTGTACAGATGAATTTTGAACAAGGGCAGGGCTAATAGGGTCTGGAACCTCTAGGTTTGGAATACCCTTAGTAGTTATCTTATCACCACAACTTGGTTGTCAGCTGTAACTTGGCATCCATCACCCTTAATAGGGAACTTGCCATAATCTCCTTCCATAACTTGGCTCTCGCCAACATTTCCGTCCTTAGTGTCTAAAAGCACCAGCTTGTGACTTTTCGGCCGAGGGATCAATGAGGCAATAGGGTCCTTATCATCCTTAGAATCTGAAGAGAGCCCAACAATTGTCAATGGGTTACCTAGTCTTGAAGAATGAATGACAGAGACATTGCCTCCTCTAAAACAAAGAAGCCCATCACCAGGTTCCTCCTATGGCAAGGTAAGGTCATCAACAAGATCATTCATATTTAGACCAACAAAGAGGTCTTGTGACAAAAGTTCAGATGATACCTCAAGGAAGCGAGTAGGGTATAGGGCAGCAAGTTCAGAGGTTGTAGAGGTAATGAGGTTAGAAGTTTTAGGAATAATAGTTGCAACCTCTAAGCTCATAGCCAACTCCGTCAGGAGAGCCAAGCTTAGAAGGGCAATACTGAGGTCAACCGTGATATTTTCAACTTCTGTAACAACTTGGGTTCTCGCAACCTCAGCATGAGGAACCGGTGGAAACTGGGCAGGAGAAAAACCCCCAGAAGCAACCTCCACATTAAGCGATTCTAGCCCAAGAGATACGTTCACCCCATGATCATCTCTAGAGGCCTCAGGGGTGTAGTCTTCACCATCACTTCCTAATACCTCTGCATTTTCAGTAGGGTGCTCCTCATGACCACCACTATCACCCCTTCAATGCCAGAAGTCACTATTCTTTGAGTTTTGGGCCAATGAACCAACTAGCCAGTGGGTACATCATCACCATCATCGAGTCTGAAAAAAGCCCTGCAATATTGGATGGGCCACCCAAATTGGAGGGAGGAATAGCAGACACGTTGTCCCTCTTTGAGATGAACATGCCCTAGACAAAGAAAGACGTACTATGCAACTAAAGTCAAAGGAGTACTAAGTGAAGAAAAATTACTCTAAGTGTTATAGTTCCTTGCGCAGTCTTTTCCTAGATAGCGATGCATGAGCCTCAGAAGGTGCAACAGCCATCGTTACTTGAACTACTCTCATACAGGAACTAGTTATATGAGAAAATTGAATGTCCACTGATTAAATTGCCAAGGCTATTTATTGGTGAGGTTCACTTAAAGCCTAACATTATGTACGCGCAAAAAACACACATTCTCTATGTGCACATGGGGTAAATGTAGAGGGACAAAAATCCTAAGTATTGATCTAACCTCTAAGGTCGTCGTAATTAGACAAGTAATTATGATTAAAAAAAATTAGGGCAAAACCCTAAGAAAAATTAGCCAACCAGAAGGCCAAACTAGGTCCGATTCGCTGGATCTAAATAGACTTTCCGCGACAAAGCACCTAAGGGAACCTGTAAAGGCAGTACCTACTACGGTATAGTAGCTCAAGCAACCCACCTTAGTGCCGCCATTCCACTACAAGGTCATTGCAGTGCTACCTTTGAGACTAGTGAAGTACACTTGCCGAGGGAAGAGTAGCCGAGGTACTACCGGCTGTGGTCTAGTAGTTGAAGTGACCTACCTCAGTGCCGTCATTCCACTTGAAGGTCATTGCGGCGTCACCTTTGAGACAGTACTTGAAGTAAACTTGCCGAGGAAAGAGTAGCCGAAGTGACTGCAGCCTCAGCAACCACATTTTGAAGTAAGACTCCCCAAGGAGATAGCAGCCTTTTTGAGGAAGGCCTCTCCCTTGTAAACAGGGACGAATGTTTAGCATTGATAGCAGACCCCAAAGTATTAATAGCTCGGTGCTAATAACAGGCCCCAAAGCTCACTAACTTGGCGCTGATAGCAAGCCCCAAAGCTTACTGGTTGGAGCTGATAGTAGACCCCCGAGATATTAGTATACCAAGGCGACCTCGGTCACACTATTAGGACCAAGGAATTCCCATTGGGCTTGGTACCAAGGCACGACATAGCTCAGCTAATAGTAGGACTAGCTGTGGCCTTTGCATTGAGAAGCTGAGGAGTTTGTGGTTAGATGGCTAAGGGTAGAAGATTCACTAAGGTAGACACAAGTATGGTTGATAGTAGGCTATGAGTCTTGAGAATGCATGTATTGAGAAGGCAGGTGCTGCAACAAGTACCGCCATGGAAGGTACCACCGAAGTAGGTGCCCTTTTCGCGGTCCGTACCAAAAACGACACCTGTTGAGGTTCATACTAAATAGTGGCACTTGTTGAGGTTCACACCAAAAGGGTACTTACTAAGATTTTGTGCCAAACTGATAGTACAGTGGTAGTTGCTAAGGTTCACATCGGAAAGACACATGTAGAGGGACATGTGTCTACCAAAGCCTGGTGGTTCAGGAAATGGAATATTCCATGTGATCTCTTGGACACATGGCATCAGCCTATTTGGCCACTTGGTACTCTTAATACCAAGGAAAAGCCCATAAATAAACCCACTTTCCCAAGGTTTGAAAACTCAAGAATAGGACCAAGAGGATAGCACTCTTGGTAGAACTCTTGAGGAGAACTTCGAGGGATTTAGGAAGGTGCTGCCCATTTGTCCACTGCCATATTCTTCTCTAGAACCATTTGCTCTACCCTCACCCGACTACTCATTCTCCAACCTTCCCAGATTATTGACCAATTAACATAGTTTTGCCTCTCTAAGTGATATTATTATTGTTCATTTTGGACCCTCTACAATATGTATTTGGCGTCATTTTGGTATCTAGTATTCTAATTATATCAAATTTGTCCCCAATATATAGTATACTAGGTACGAGTTTTTGTGCTCCGTGTATGATGAGCCTATAGTCCCTTAAAATATTGGAATATTTTGGAAATATAAATAATAAAAAAAAGCTTAACGAAAATAAGAAGAGAGAGAGAGAGAGTTCTATTGGTGATAGGGGTGGAGGAGTGGAGGGGCAGCGGGGATTTGTACACTAGGAATAGGGGTAGAGAGTTGAGGTGGAGGGTGGTGTTAAGGAAAATGGGCAGAGAGAGATGGAACCAAATGTTCACAAAAAAAAAAAAAAATTTGCCAAAGAGGGTCTTAGTCCTTGTTTTGTTAAGGTGCATTTTTTGTTCAAGAAATATCTTGTTTCTCATAGGAATATTGACGTGTCAAACATAGCGAGTACTTAAACATACATTTAGTACATTAGGGATTAGATGGAAATAATTGAAATATTTGGGGTACTTAAACATACATTTAGTACATTAGGGATTAGATGGAAATAATTGAAATATTTGGGGATCAAAAAGATATCAAGCAAATAGTTTTGGTACCAAAAGTATATTTGGCCATTTTTTTTGTTTTGGTGCATTGTTTTGTTCCAAAAGTATCTTTGATTCTAATGATGACCACATTGGCACAAATTTGGTATATTAGAGACTAACTAAATCGACACAATTTAAATGTTGAGGATTGAAATGACATAGAACACATATTTTAGGCATAAAAAATGTGTTTATCGTATTTATTTTGTATGAGAGATTTCAACATCATGTTTGTATCTGGTCCTTTTTTCACGTGTTGATACATTTTGGGATAGAAATTTGCATTTGGGGTCCAAGTAAGGTCTGCATCAGATGGCTTCTGTGCACTTTTAAGAAAAGTTTAGAGCATATAGAAAAATTTGCTTATCATGAGTGTTTTTGGAAAGAAACCTTTTAGATATACTTCATCAAGTAAATGAATGAACATTCTTGGGAATCGAAATCATTGCAATGAAACATGGTGAATGTTATAATTTTATAAAGTCATGTTATCAATTGAGATTGTTACATTACTAAGTGACAACCCATAGTTTTACTACTACTCAATCTGTATAGACATCAATCCTTCAACGCTAAGTTATGTTCCAATACTAGATCTCTCTACTTTACATTACCGTCCATTTTATGCTTCCTTTTTCTAATTCGTTTTGTAGTTAACCTATAAACCCATAATCTCCTTTTGCAATGAAATGTGTTGTTCCATAAGTTAAACAGATTTCAATCTTGAGCTCAAATTGCTAAGTGTTCCTCACTAGGGTGCTAATGACAGCCTATTGGGAGGAAAAACTCAAAGAAGACAAAGTCTCAAAATGATTTTGGACATCGGCCAATGTTTATTGGGATTTTGGATATCGGCCATTGTGTATTGGGTTTTTGGCCTCCTGATACTAATACACTCTAATATATCAATGGGAAAAAGAATCACATACATATTGGTCGATTTGCAATTCATTTGGTTTCATAGTTGATTCACAACTAATATGGGTGGTTCGCGACTAACACAATCAATTTGACTGCTATAGAACTCTTTCTAATAGTTGATGATGTTAAAAAAATCATGATTATGTCATTCAATTCCTCATATCACTAAAGTGCAATTCATACCGATTTGAATGACATAATCATGACACTTCAATGACATAATCTGAACTCACTTTCAACATATTTTTATGAGTTTTTACGCATTTCAATGCACTTTTTGCACGTTTTTAAAACTCTAATAATAGCTCTTTGAGTGGTCATTAACATTTTCCTTCTTTAGTATGCCATTATCATAATGTGCATTTATGTTTAGCATTATTGTTGCAGGCCTTTTCTTATGAGTGCAGATGCAAATGTATCTCACAATTCAAAGGATTTCTTTTCAGTAAGTCAAATTCAAGTCCCTTCTGAACACACATATATTGATGCTTACTTTGTTTACAAGTACAAGTAATTATTTGTTAACACTTAGTATTCATGACTTTAATTATTAGCAAATACATATCGAGATTTTACACTTCTAATACTGATATTTACTAATATATCGGCTGATATTATCCAATATCAGACAATATGTAACTATATCACTGACACCAATTTGTATTTTAATACCATTATTTAAAATAATGTTGGCATTGTTACAGGGGCCAACAAAACTCAACTTGAACCAGCCACTAGACATGGAGATGACATCCTCAAACATGGAAGCAACACGGTGGCCATTCTTCGTCTTCTTAGGCGGCTCAATGTTCTGCCTCCTCTCAAGCAGCACTTGCCACCTCTTTGCTTGTCACTCCCACCACCTAAACCTCCTATTGTTGAGAGTGGATTATGTTGGTATAGCAATCATGATCATCACCTCCTTTTTCCCCCCAATTTACTACATCTTCCAATGTGAACACCTTTGGCAAGTCATATACCTTAGCGGAATCACAATAATGGGCATTTTTACCATTATAACCCTACTTTCGCCTACTTTTTCAACTGGTAAATTTCGACCCTTCCGTGCCTTGCTCTTTGTGGCTATGGGGTTATTTGGGCTCATACCTGCGATCCATGCTGTTGTTTTGAATTGGAGCGAGCCTAGGCGCAATGCAACCCTAGCTTATGAAATGGCCATGGCACTATTTTATTTGGTAGGGACCATTTTTTATGTTACTAGGGTTCCGGAGAGGTGGAGGCCTGGATGGTTTGATCTAGCTGGGCATAGTCATCAAATATTTCATGTTTTTGTGATATTCGGTGCATTGGCTCATTATGGTGCTGCACTTGTATTTTTAGAATTTCGTGGCAAAGTAGGTTGTGAAAGAAATTAAGTGATGATATGTTAATTTATATTAATTTCAGCAGGGATTAATGTTTGATTGTTAGGGATTGGAGTGTTTCTTCATTTGTTGTATGTAGCTCAAGGAATAGGAGATGAAGGAATTGTTTTATTTTTATTGATTATGTTGAATTATGAAGTAAGTAGGATCATTTGAAATGCAACATCATACTAAATATGGGAAACATGAAAGTAATATTAAGATCTCAATATATTTTGAAAATTGTTTTGTTTTGTGTACAAAATAGATTGTATTGGAGAAAATAAGTACGTAAAGTTACTATGTTGTCTCAAAATATCATGTGATATTTGTTTATGAGGTGCTAAGAACAAATAAGAAATCGCAAAACACACTATGTAAGTTAATCTTTGTCTTTCAACTACTAACAAAGCTAAGTTTTGTGGTAAATTTTTTTGCTATGTCATTAGTTGAGTAGTATCACATGACATTCCAAAACAACTTAATAAGAAATATATTGGTGCTAATTGATTCATTAAATAAAGAAGTTTTTTAGCCTTTTTTTGAGCTTGATGGCTAATTAATGTAGGAATAAAATTACAGAAATATAATACTAGTGTACTGTATTTTCTGTGTAGCTCACATGACATCCAAAATATATCTTAACCACACAATACACGCATCCAAAATATAATTTTACCAAACACAATACACATTTTGTGTATTTTTTGTGTGTCTAATTTAGGTGCATTTAGCATTATTTGTAAAATTTTTAGAACTTGTGGACCAATGTTTACTTCTATTTGTCCAATACTATGAACCTTCTATTTTAACTATATGATTGTTTTGGAATTTCATTTTTTAAGATTCTTATTGAAAATTGAGAGACAAAAACTTTGAGAACCAATAATATTGCTTAATGAACTATTTTTGGGTTGGGATCACTATGTCCCAAGTTTCAACCCTAGATTATACTATATTCCCAATTAAAAATGTGGATTTTTGTGTAGAAATTATAAATCAAGTCCAAACTAAAACCAAATAAAAAAATATAAGAAAAGAACAAGTCATGTGATATTTTCTTTCCCCAATACAAAAATATAAGGGTTTTTTACTAGCCAGTGTTAATAATTCAATCTATTACCCATTAGGTCTTGAGTTTCTGTCTTATGCATGCATACATCCTGTTATATTTTTTTTATCTCGATTTTGCTCCTTTGTTGTTATACTTTGTGCATTTGGTTTGAATTTTGTAGTTTTGTTTGATTTTTGAGAGCAGGACTTCAAATCTAGAATTGGTTCATGAGTGAATGAAAATTGATTTTTGGCTTGGAGATCATCGGTGAGTTGTGTTCAAATTTGTTTGCGATTTGGAGGTGAGTTACAGTCTATTCAAATATGTTCGAATCTCTTCGATTTTTGCATTTTGGTTTGTGATTTTGTTAGGTATTTGGTTCGTGTGATATATATATATATATATATGCAAATTTGTGATTTTGTTTTGGTATTGTAATGTTCGTTTGTTTGTGAATTTATTGATTTGTTGATTTTGGAAATTGTTTTGTTATTTGTTGGTTTGTAGCAATTCATTGTAAGAACAATATATCATTGTGTGAAATCTATATAAATGGATATGTATACAGAGTTATATACTTTTTGTTTGAGTTAGTGATTTTGATTTGGTTTGTGATATTATTGTTATGATGTTGTTGTTTTTGTGATTGAATGTGTTTTGATCATGATATTGAAAGTATTAAGATATGTATATGTGACGAATATTGGATTTTTTTGTTGCAAAATTGTTTTGGTTGAACACAGTTGCCGATTTGTTATTTTCTATAGTAATAAATTTATCAGTGAGTATGAGAATAGGAGATGAAAAAGTCATATAGTGGTCTAATTGTGTAGGTAGGGGTGCTATTTTAACTCATCATAAAATTTAGAAGATGAGAATAGTGCCCTCAATATACTTATTGGAAAATCCTTTATGCAATGCTAAGTCCAGCCATTGAATTTTTTAGATTCATGTGAAACTGAGAATGGGATGATATGTAAGATTAAAATGATTTTGTGATTTTGGGAAAAACTTTTGGCAAAGATGAACTTTCAACATAGGAGACGAGTAGTTACACAAGCATCACCCATAAGATTTTCTTGGTCGTGTTGTTTCAGATCTACAATGTATGTGTCTTGCAATACAAGTTTTCATTGGACATGTGCATAATACAAAATTGGATTGTGTTATATTTGGTAGTGCATGTTATAAAACACATGGGCCAAGGCTTCAAAGCTTTGGGAAGTCAAGCATGAAAATGTGAGATTGAGTCTGTAGGTAGTCAATTTATGCAAATAATGGTGAGTTTGTTCTACATAGGTCCACACCTCCCATTACGGTGGAATCAACATTGTTAATGACCTTTTTGCCATTATCGTAGATATATAATCGATACATTTGTTAATTGATATAGCTTATAGACTAAAGGTGAGAGCAATGGAAAATCTTCTTTGTCCCCATATGATAAGTTTATATCAAAATTGAGTAACAAATATAAACTACGATAGACGATTCATTCATAAAAATGTCCACAGTTTGCTAATTTTTGTCCATAAGAGGCTCTAATTTTATTTATTTATGTTATTATTGGATTGTGTTGCTTTTCCATCCTGTGGTTTATTTTGGTAACCATATTGTTTAATATATAATTTCGGCGTTACAATTGAAGGTATTCATGTTTTTGGATGTGTTGGAGTTTGTGACGCCCCAAAAATTGGGAACATCAAGGAATATAATAACAAATAATTACATGGTTTTTCTAAGGTTACTTGTGTAGGAAATGTCACTAATGAGTCATTGGTTAATAACTAAGTAAGACCTTAGGAAAACTCAGAGGAGTCAAAATAGCCTCCCTTCTAAGTCCAATCTCCTTAGATAGCAAAACTACCTATTTGACAAATCTTTAATAAGGCATTAACACAATATCTACATGAGTTGACTAAATATGATAATAGGCTACAAAAGATATATGTAGATATATATGCAAATATTTACAAGATCATATCTTAATTGTGATAAGAGTTTTAATACTTACATTTCCAAAACATGATTACAAATTCCTAATCGTATAGGATAGCCATATGTCTTCAAATGTTTTTACTTCATCGATGCCTACATAAATTTTGTCAAAACACCTGGCATGAAACACCATGAGCTTGGAATGCCCAATAAACGTATACACCCCCATCCATTTTTCTCAATCCAATACACAATCACAATTATAACAAAACAACAAATGAAGCATGATATTAAAGTCAATAACAAAGGATGGCAAGGTCAAATGTTAGTAATCTAGAAATCTCCCAAAGAGATTTCATCCTCCCAACCATAAGAATTGGACTCAGATTATTCAGTATGCCCCATTTTTTGCTTATTTGCAAAACTTACTTTGTATGCCTACAACAGTTACCACCGCATAGTGCCAACAGAGGACCTCAAAAGAGATGGTAAAAATATATAACCTCCTCCAACCTTATCCGTCATAAGTACCTTGGGTCCAAATATAATCGATCCATTCAAGGGTTTTGAAACAATCACTTGCGCAAGATTTAACCTTCAGTTAGGGAATATGTCCTATCAATCCATTGTTATCTCATCATTATTCAAGTGATCGAAAACCTAATGCCACCGCATTTAGTCTTCCCTAAAGTTAGATGTTTTTAAGTTAAGGTTAGAACAAGTTATTGAGACAATAATTTCTACACAAGTACGAGCATCATCAAAGCATCATGGTAAATAAATATAGGCACAACAAAGTAAATATCATGCTAAGGCCAAACAAGAGATAAGAAGCACATTCATGAAATTAAAAGTATGAAATCATCAACAAACATAATTTCCAAATTAGATGCATTTTAAAGATCACAATTAAAGAGACATTTTTAGATTTTTTCGAAACTTGGCCTTCACATGGCTTGTAGATAATTTTATCTATTTTCAGAACATTTTTCAAAAGTGGAATAACTTTCCTAGATTTTTAGTTATTTAAGAAAAACTCCAACGCTATCCAAATTCATCGACTATTACGAAAATCGGATTTTCTCTCAACTCGCTCCCATGAAAGTTAACACTAAAAGGAATGTTTTTACATAAAAATGAGTTTAAGGAGATTTTTCTGTATTTTTTCTAAAATTTTCTATAAATATAGGATCTTTAAGCACAAAGCTTGAAATAAAAGAGGGTAACCATGGATAATCTTTCACTTCTATTGTGATGAAGACATGCTAAGTAACATATCATAAACTCAGAATTTTAGATTCAAGGTGTGCCTTTGGAATTCATGTGAGATAGGTATAGAAAAAGATAGTTTTGCGTTTATTAAGAGAAAACACAAGTGTAGAACAGGGCTCAACTCTATTCATTTTTAACACAAGAACACCATTAAAACACTTCTGAAAATAATATTGAAAACTTCTAAGAACATGTATTTGAAAGAGGAAACAAAAGGAAGGGTGGTAATGTAGCTTACTTGGTGCCTAGGTGAGATGATTTGCACAATTTTCCTTTCCTTTCTTTTCCTGCACCACCAAGCTCTTTCTCCCTTTCTTTCCTCTCTCCCAGTCGTGTGTTTTAAGTGTATTGTTTTTTAGATGATGATGTGTTTTGACTGTATTGAGTGTGTGTTTTTGTTCAAAATGTGGAGAGTGGTGGTGTTTTTATAGAAGAAATGGTGTGAATTGTCTAAAATGCCCTGGTTCCAATTCAATTGGATATTTTTTATTTAGTTAGGATGAAATTGAATAGTAGAGGATTAGGAACCTTAATTATGTACTTAATCATGATCTAGTTAGGCTTTTCTCTTAATTAAATTACCCTAGTTGCAAGTACAATGCATATATACATATATATATATATATAATTAGTACCAAAAGGAAAAATTCTCTCCATGATTTTAAGGATTTTTTTCTCAGAAGTACCTATAATTGTAGCCTAGGAAGGGGGGAGGGGGTGGCTGGCCATTGATGGTGACCCTAGCAAGATTTTCTTTTTTATTTGTGTGTACAATTTGATATTTATTTATAGATATTTTGTGTACAATTCATTAAATAAGTTCAAAGGTACAAACATATATATATATATATATATGTATGTAATGGTACTAACTTGGGGTCAATTTTTAATTCAAGTAAAATGTAGGGGTTGAGGCCTTAATTTATGAATTGGAACAATTATTTAAGTGTCGTATTTAGTTAA